ATATATATATATATATATATATATATATATATATGTGTGTGTGTGTGTGTGTTTTAATTAATTAATTTTAAGCTAATTTTCACACTGTGTGAAGGATCATCAATTGACACGTACAAATTATTGTTCTGTCTTTACAGAGTGCAGCGCCGACTAGGGCGTCTTAAACAATTTAGTTACAACTGCTACAAAACACGAATAAAACTTATTTATTTTTACACGTTTCGGTTTTACATCTTCGTTAAGAGTTAAAGGTGCTGGTTTATTTTTTATTTATTTTTTTTAGTTGCAGGCTGACGTCGCCAGTTTGACGAATGTGCAAAACCGAAACGTCAAGAAATAATGATATGTTGTCTCATTTCTGGCTAAAGGTCTTTTATTTACAAAATGTCTAAAATACACTATTCAGTGCTATTACATATTCTAAAACGAGAAAATAAAAAAGCGTATCCATTTTTAAGTTTTGTAAAGCTGACAGGAGGATATAAACTATGTTTACAAAGAAAAAACAAAAACGACTACTCACACTCCAGGAAAAAATAAATATATTTTACTCAAACACGTTTCGGCTTAGGCCTTTCTCAAGAGTTTACAGCATCACATGCAAGTACATCATGATAACTGAAAAGAACACACATAACAATTAAAAACTGACTTAACAATGCCAATGTCATCGCACGCACGTTAATTTTAAGAAGTTAGAGTGTGTTCTTTTCGGTTATCAGTTTGAATTTGTAGGTGACGCTGTAACCGTTGGGAACGGTGCAAACCGAAATGTCGGGTTTGAATAAAATAGTTTTTTCAAATATTTTTTGAAGTTTGAGAAAATAATAACGTGTTTATCTGGTTTCTTATGAAGTTTCACGTTGATGAACATTCGTAAGCTACAAGAACCAAGTAATTTAGAAATAATTGTCACAACATAAATTACCAAACGCCACATTGGGATTGCAATTGTAACCGCCATTTTGATTATTATTCAGTTAGTTTCACTATACTTTATTTCTAAAATATTTTTAGATAGAGAAGAAACAAATAAGTTTCAAAATTTTAAGTTATTATTGTTTAATGCTATGAAAGCTTTCATAATTTGTGAGGCAATCATATCTTAATGTTTGCTTTGTAGACATCGTGATATGAACTATGATTAGGCTTACCGAAAATATTTTTTAGTAACAAGTCTTAATAACTAAATATAGACTTGTGGTGTACAAGGCATATATCGTAGATACAAATACACGTTTCCTCACGGCGTTATAAATGTATTTGGCGCGAAACGTAAAGTATGTATGTAATTATATATATACGAATGTAAATTATCAGTGTCGAATGTTTAAGTGCACAAACCATGAACAATTGTTTTCAAACGCAGACGATATCCGCACGAGCCAGCTGTTCGTAGCCAGTCGTGTGTAGCCATGTTTGTCGCGACACGTGACGATAAATGAAAATATTTTTGGTTTTGTTCAACTAGATTGTGGGCACCATGATGTTGGGAGTGAAAAAAACCACTGTAAAAAATTGAAGTTAAAACAGTAACAAATATTACCAACGACATTTAACAATGCCAGGTTTTTCTACCATATGGTATATTTGTTCACGGTTTTGCGTTTTAGGATTAAATAATTGTTCGACGCTGTTTTGTTCCCAAATATATACACAAACCTTCGTAATCTTAATGAAATGTGAGCGATAACTCATTACCACGTTCATCAGAAACAATAATAAGGCGGGTATTCAAACTTGATAAAACCAAAATGTTCCCCCCGTGTAATATCCGGGGTTCGATTTCCCGTGGTGGACACAGCAAATAATAGCCCAATGTGGTTTTGCATTAAGAAAACAAACAAACAAATAAAATCAGAAATATATTTTTGATTCTGATTTCCCCGGTGGGTCAGCGGTAAGTCTACGGACTTACAACGCTAAAATCGGGGTTTTCCTCGGTGAACACAGCAGACAGCCCGATGTGGCTTTGCTATAACACCCAAACCCACACAAACTGAGTCCGCCGGTGGGACACCGTAATCTTACAGACTTGCAACACCAGTGGACACAGCAGATAGCCAATGTGGATTTGCTCCATAACAAATAGGCTTGATTCCGACCAATCCCAATATAAAGTATATTTTCATAGGCCAAATTTAATCACACTGATGTAGGTGAGTGTACTACTGAAATAAGGATTTACAAAAATCAGTCGGTTCACCGAGTGTCTGCAGCAAAAGTTGATCGACTTATTTATTTTAGAAATAAAGAAGCTTGAATTTTTCATACATCTAGTGTTGCTAGGAATATTCGTACAGGTAATTCTAAATAGATGTCGCTGAGATATAAAATTTGAAAAAAATCATCCAACCATTAATATGCATACTCTTCTGCAGGGGCGGAATAAACCCTAAAATTCTACCGGGAAAAATACTGGAAGATTAGGGGGGGGGGGGACCAAACTTGCCGAC